CCTCGGCTCGCAAGGTCAGCCGGGTTGTGCTCGGAGCGCACGTGCAGCCAATCCTTTACATCCGTGGCTTGAGCGATCCTGGATACGCGATTCGCCACAAAGGTCGTCCAATTGCACGCTGGCTTGCGAAGCCAGGCCAACACAATAGTGGAGTCGGTCCAGCACGCCGTTGGATAGCTGCTGAGTGGAAGGTGGGGCAGGATAGCTGCACACATGTCCGCTAGGAGGACGGCACCGCACAGTTCCAAGCGCGGCAGTGACACCGTCTTGACTGGCGCCACCCTGGTCTTGGATACCAGGAGATGGACCTGCACTTGCCTGTGCGTCTCGACGCGCAAGTAGATGGCCGCCCCGTATGCCTGCTGCGATGCGTCACAAAAACCGTGGTATTGAAACGTACCTTGTGGGCGAAAATGAATCCACCGTGGGATCCGGATCCGGTCTAGCGTGGGATAACTCCGCAGGAACTCGTTCCACCTCTGCTGCAGCTCGGAGGGGAGCGGATCATCCCATCCGATTCCGCTGAGCCAGATTTCTTGCATAAAAATCTTGGAACGGACAATAATTGGCGCCAGCCATCCGGCGGGATCGAACAGCCTGGAAATCTGGGCCAGGACCTCCCGTTTGGTGAATGAGGACCCTTCCTCCAAAGCGGATGCGATGAACAGGAACTCATCGTCGGTGGCCTTCCAGCGGATGCCCAGCGTCTTAGTCATGCTGGCATCCTCAATGTCTAAGAAGTCGGCGCGCAGCAGATGCTCTGGTGGGATGCCGCGAAGAATGTCCTTGTTGTTGGCGACCCACTTGCGCAGTGGGAAACCTGCTGCGCTGAAAGCCGCTCGTATCTCTCGTATGGATGAGAGTGCTTCCTGCTTCGTATGTGCTCCGGCCAGGACGTCATCCACATACATGAAGTCCGTGAGGACCCGGCTGGCGAGCGGATACTGCGCCTTGGAGTCTTCGGCAAGCTGCAGGAGCACGCGGATGGCCAGGAAAGGCGCACAGTTCACCCCGAAAGTGACTGTTTGGAGCTCGAAATCCCGCAAGTTACCTGCCCCATCACGCGGTGCTGAAGCCGGACAGCACCACGACCAAGGTCCGCGTGGTGGCAGGTAAAAATTGGCGTTGTCCGTTGGAGGAGGGACAGGGCGCATGTGCCCTAAGTCGAGATACTCGTTGATGACTGCGTCATACTGCTCCTTCAACGAAACGTTCCTAAGCAGCCGAGCCTCGTTCTTGAGGAACTGGGCCATCGCGATGGATCTAGAATGGCCCAGTTGAATGTCCTGGGGGTCCTTGAAAGGCAGCGAGACCGTGTATCTGCCATCCGGCCGCCGGCTGGTGGTCTGGACGAAAAGCTGTTCGCACACTGCGCCCGCTTCCTTCTCGCAACTCACCGGGATGTCCTCCACCTCCCAGAACTTGGTGAGCAGCTGATCCAAGGATGGCTGTGTGCTTGCTGAAATGCGCGTGGTGAAGGAACGGATGGCCGTCTTCCTTGCCGCCGCTACTGGTCCGGTCAGAATCCATCCGAAAATGGTCTCCTGTGCCAGCAGCGAGCCGCAGACGTTTGGCCGGGTGCCGCCAAGCAGCACGGCAGGTAGTATGTCAGCGCCGATGAGCAAATCGATGGTGGCGCTTCGGAAAAAACACGGGTCTGCCAACGGCAGGTCAGGAAGATCTCTCAAGGTTTCGCTGGATATGGGAAACGATGGCAGGGCGCCTGCCAGTTGCGGCAGCACGTATGCCGCCGTCTCGACTTCGCGCCTCGGTTGTGAGGAAGATGCCAGCTTGACACTGCACACCTTGGTCGCGAGCCCAGATGTGGTCGCGTTCAGCCCCGATACCTGGGCCTGCACCTTCTGGAACGGCAGCCGAAGAGATCTGCGTAGGCGTTCTGAAACGAAAGTTCCCTCGGAGCCAGAGTCGATGAGCGCACGCGCGGCGTAGACGCTACCCAAATGGAGCACGTTCACTATAGCCGTGCCGAGGAGGACGCCCTGAACGCTGCTGCTGAAATAGCTCTGAACATTCGACGAAGTGGACTGTAATGGATTGCAATGTGGAGGGGGAACTGATGCTGAGGGCGCCGATGGAAGGGAGGGGCCACGGTGTAGGAGAGTGTGGTGGCGCCCCTTGCACGTAGCGCAGTTGTACTGGCTTGTGCAAGCGTTTAGTTGGTGCCCTCGGGCGAAACAATTCATGCAAAGCTTCTGATTCTTGATCACCTTGCATCGGTCCTTGACCGACATCTGCAGAAAACGCGGACACAGGCGCACGGGGTGGTTCTCCTTCGAGCAAAGATTACAGGTCTGCGGACTGTTGCGGACCTTCGTCTCGAAAGAGTTGACTCTCCTCGCAGCCGGCTCCTTTTGAGCTGGCTTTGGAACGCGGGTGCGGAGGCCCAGGGTCGCATCATTTATCGCTTCCAATGTGCGATAGCGATCCGAGAGGAACTGATTCATGTCGCTCCAGGGCGGAATTTCGGACTTGTCCTTTACCGACTGCTCCCATAAGGAAAGGGTAGCTGGAGGAAGCTTGGTGGCGCAGAAAAACACCAAAAGGCAATCCCAGTCCTGGGTGCCAATCTTGGCATTCTGGACAGCCGTTAAGCACCCTTGGATTGTGCTCTGGAGCTCCTTGATGGCGATGCCACACTCCGAAAGAATAGGCTGGAGGTTGGCGAGGACCTTGAGCTGACTGTTGACCAACAATCGCTTGTTTTCGAAACGCTCAGTTAGGTTTTTCCAAGCTGAGGCGAAACCGTCGTTGGTCAGTGGGGAATTACGCACGATGTCCTTCGCTTCGCCGCGAGTTTTGGAGAGGAGGTGGTAAAGTTTTTCCACCTCTGTCAACCGCTGGTTGCGAATGTACAACGCGGTGAAGAGGTCCCTGAACGTGGGCCACTTCAGGTAGTCGCCAGTGAAAACCTCGGTGTCCACTGGCGGAAGGATACAGCCCCTGACTGGGGGCTCGGGACTTGGAGCGGGAGCGCTGCTCCGCGCGGACGCGTCTTGTATCCGCGTGGTGAGCTGAGTGGCGCACCGCTCATAGACGCGGTAGCAGTGATCATACTTCATCTGTAAGGCCTGCTTGTCGGAATCGCTGGACTCTGATTGGCTCAGAGCCCGGAAACAGCGCCGACGCTCTTGCTGAACCTGTTCCCACAGGGCTTTGACTTGGTCCAGTTGGATCTGCTGCGTGACAAGTGTCACGGCTGGGTCGGACGAAGAAACTAGTGCCTCAAAATGGCACAGGTCATCGCTGACCGAAATGAATTCGTCCAACACCATTTCGATCGTTTTGGAAGCGATCCGAACAGCTGCTCGAGTAGACGGAACGGGTTTCGCAATTCTGGGCACCCTCACAGAGAGCTGTGGCGAACAGCTGGTCTTCCTTGGAGAAGGAGACGAAAAAGCGTTCACGGACAAATGTGATTTGGGGCTGCCCTTCTTGGCGGTGGAAGGCGAAGGTTTTTTCAACAACAAGCGTGAACCCGGACTGCTCCTCTTGGAGGTAGAGGGCGAAACCTTCTTCAACGACGACGGTGGTTTCGGAATAACCCCTTTTGACGTCGACGGCGAAACTGTTTTTACAAGGGACGGTGTCGGAACCGAACTGGATTGCGCGTCAGAAGAAGGAACGGCCAAACGCTGAGAAGTGGATGGGGCGACCGAGGTAGACGGATGGACTAAATGCTTCTTCGTGTCCTCCTCGCCTTCACTGGGCATACTAGGCTCTCACACGAGCCTGCTAGAGTGGGCCCACTTGAGGCAGGTCGGGTATGAGTCCGCCGGAAAACGGCGTTGCTGACCGCTTATGGCGCGCAAAATTCTGCGACAAGTTTTATTAACTGGCTTATGCTAGCTGGAGGTGCTGAAAACTTGTCGGACACAAGGTCACAAGAATATGTGTAGCCACCGAAATAAAAGAGAAAATGGATTTCGTTTTTTTCTCTATGTTCGTTTTATTAAAATTAATTAAACACCGCGGCAGCAATAAATATATGTGCAATTAAGTTGCTGGACAGCTGCAGGCGGTGATATGCGACGAAGAATCCAAAAAAACCAACAAAAAAAAAACCCAAAAATAAATATAAATTAAAGCTGGATAAAATAACTGCCAGGTAGAGGTGCTGGAAAGGTTCGGGAAAAAGTCCACAAGGATATGTGTATTCACCGAAAAAATTTGGATTTATTTTTATTTGATTTTATTAAAGTTGCTGAAAAATCGCAGCAAAAACTACACGCAATTACGTTGATGGAGAAAGACCAGCTGGAGGCGCTGGTATGCGACAAGGAATCCCAAAGAAACATAAAAAAAAAACAATAATAAATTTTATTTAATTTATTAAGTTACTTTTTGGGATAAAGTAACTGTATTTAATTTTATTAAGTGATTTCCGGGATAGCGGACCGCCAGTAGCAATTGGTCACAGTGATTATCGAAATTAATAATTCAGCTGTGACTCGTTACCGTGACCAAGTTTCTGGTCACACTCCAATTTCGATGATTGTAGCTTCCGATAACTGATTTTACACAAGTGTCATCACTTGTTTACCTTTAATGGGTAAGTAAAAATTTTAAGTGCAAAACCGCAATATGTTTTAATTTTCGCACAAGCGCCGACGCTGGATATCGCGCGGGCTATAAGGAATACCAACTGGAGTGTTGGCACGTAGCGGGGAGTCGTGGACCGACCGGTGAGTGTATAGGATTGTGTTAGTAATTAAATATATGAGTGTAAATATGTTTGTGTGTAAATATTATGGTTCGTATATTTAGTGCATGCAGATGTGTTTATAGCGGACTCAAATGTATATAGATATATATATATATATATATATATATATATATCAGCGTATGCGGACGTACGTTTGTTTCCGCTGCCGATATATGAAAACGTGTATAGATTTATACGCAGCGGCTGTATATATGTGTATGTGCATATGTTAAAATATGTCTCTTGTATAATGTGCATGTATGTATATAAAGTGCATGTATATAAGCATATGTGGAAATATGTTTATTGTGTAATGTGCATGTATATAAAGTGCATGTATATAAGCATATGTGGAAATATGTCTATTGTGTGACGGACCATGCAAAAACTATGTGGTGTGAATTGTGCATTAGGAACGTGCAGGTAAAACAGGTGTGTTTCCCACTGGACACTTGTTGCATATGGGAAAGAATATGCGCAAGTATGCCAAGATGCAAACGCAAACGGACGGAGTTCGGGTTGAACCTGCTAATTGTTGCACTTCACTTTTCGTTTAAGCGGACCAGCGCGGTACCGGCGTTAGACGAGATGAGGCCCTTGGATAAGGGACGGACAGCGGGATGCTGTTCCGTTGTGGGGGTCGGCGGACAGACCGACAGTGAACAAATATGGCGTAAGTATCGCGCCACAAGTAAATAGTTTACTTAGCTGCTTCTCCTCGCAGGTATCCAACGCCAGGAACAAGCTGGGGCGAACGGTCGTAGGCTGCACAGGACTTGGAAGGAACGGGAGGTGCACCTGAAGATCCGGCTCGAAGGACAATGTTGGCGTGGGGCGTTGGGGGTGAAAGTCCAAAAACCGCAAGGGAAGTAAAATGGCGTCTGCTTTCCTTTTCACTGTGACGTGACTCGCACGTATATATATATTCTTCACTTGTATGACAATTTGAAACTAAACTTAACCTAATTGCAGTGGCGCTTAGCTGCCCATATGAAAGAGGGAGAGGCCGCCGACGCTAGCAGCGCTCTGCCAGCAGATGTTGCTGGCAAGCGTTGCCATGTCAACACTGGCAGAGTGCTGCCACATCAACACTAATCCTAATTGTCTGCTGAATGTGTTAGTTCATCAGTTAAAAATAAATTATGTAGGGAATCAATTTAGAACTATTTTTTCCCCTACATATTTTTTCATGTATATATTGATATTTTTCAGATTAAATTCCTGAATATTTATTCCTTTTTAATTGATACTTCTGCTTAGTAACAGACTTAGCAAAAAAAAAGAAAAAGGCGTGTACTCTACCTTCCAGTTTCATATTTTTTAATCGCAAATTGCATATTTTTTGTTATTAAATTAAAATAGTTTAACACCACTATTTAACATAAGTAAACAATAGTAATTTCTTACTGCAACTAATGTACTTATGGCTCTACATCCTGCTGAGGATCAAAGAGTGTACTGCAGAAGCCCTAAGCGACAGGGTCCATCAGACTATCATTGAGTTGGTATTTTTAAAGATTATAGAGCTCTTTCCATAGCTATTATACCTCCACAAATCAACCCAACTTTAGTTGACTTACTATGTTAAAAAGATCTGTTTTGTTAGATATTTTTTGCTTAAGAAAGTTTTATAATATATAAGACGAACTATTTTTCAAATAAAAAATTTGTGTTTAATTTTTAAGGCAATCAATTTTGAATAATGATTTGCTACAATTTTGGGTAGCTATTTTTAAGGCCTACTGTTTGCTATTTTCAATTTTATTTAGCTGAAATGGTTGTGCCACATTTGAATTAGAAACATTATTTATTTTCAATTTTTTTAACTTTTTTTTTTAAATATAAGTCTACCTCTCTCAGGCTAATGTCCGCCTTAAACGCTCAGTTTTGCAGCGTAATGGGCCAAGATGGTTGTCTATCGTCGTCGATTACTCATCGTGCCGCATTGCACACATGTAACACACATTGCTTCCGCTTGCATGCCGCATCATATTTAACATAACCCACACTCAATTAACATTTTCTGTTGGCAACTTTACTGTTAAATGCTTGTCTAAATGCCTGTTAAGCCTGGGCCATGGCTTAGTCGTTCCAAAGCTGCCCACACAGCTGCTGCCTTGGCTGCTGCTATTGTGTCTGCACTTCTGCTCCTTTGCGCTGACCAAGTCAATAAACGCGTTTATTGTCTTAGCCAACCGCCACCCTCACCCCGCCACTAGTCCCCAAATGCTCCTCAGGAGGCTTCTACAACTGCTGTTGTTGCTCATAGTTGTGTGTACATTGTCTGTGTGGTGCCAAGAAAAATGTTGCTGTCGCGCCAGAGTTTTCCATTGTCGTCGTTGTCGTTGTAGTCGTCGTCGACATCGTCCTCATCCTCATCTTCGTCTTTGTCTAGTCAGAGTTGCCTGTTCTTGTGGCCTCTGTCTCTGTGCGTTTGCTTGCCAACTTTTGTCCATTTTAAGGCAGCTGGAATGTTGCTTTCTTGTAAATTGTTTAAATAAAAGACACAACAGCAAACAGCAGCGCTACGCGCTGTTCTGCTACTGTGTCGCCTATGACAATATCTATGTTTGTGTTTGTATCTCCCCTGCAGGTGCAATACACTAGTAAGTATATGAATTATCCACGATAATAGTTCCTAGGCTATGAAAATTAAGTAAACTTGTACTAGTTTTTAATTTGGGAAACAAGAACAAAGCTGCAGTTTAAAAAATGCTAAGATGTCATTGAAACACTAAACTACCGCTGTTTACCTTTTGGTTAAGGGTAGATTAGTGATTATTTCTAATTTTTTAAGAGTAGTAATATATCAATTTTCTTTAATAAGCACTGTTTCTGTTGAAGTAGCAGATTTTATTTTTCTTTGCTAAAAATTCGACTATTCTTTCACATAACTATAAAAGTTTGAAAAATAGCATTAAAATAAAAAAGAAACAATTTGTTTATAAGCTGAGCCATCATTGAAAACAATGAATAAAGTAGCAGAAGAATCAGTCCATTATCAATTATTTGTATACGAAAGAAAAGTACATAACTATTGGATTTTTGTTGTTGATACTGTGTTTTACAAAAAATTAAATGTGAGAAGCTCATAAATTTGTTATTACCATTTAATTTTGGTATTTTATTTATTTATTTATTATTAGTTCCTAGTGCGACAAGAAAGATACTTATGAATTAATAAACTAGTCACAAAAATGAAATTTCCTTAGATAATAAAATAAAAAGTGATTTGATTAGCCTACTTAACCAATTTTTGTTAAATACATTTTATTTATTCGTAAAATACGTAAATTTTGATAACTTGCTGATGAGTGTTCAGTTTTTATGAAAGGTGTTAAGTTTTTAGAAATTTCTTAATGCTTCTTCATACTTGTAGATCCATTTTAATAACAATTCATAGAAACGGACTACATGAAGTGTCGTAGGTGTTAGTGGTTTCTTAAAGTGTATAGTACTAGTGTAGCAGATCTAGCAATTAGAGCTGCAGGGTAAGTGCTCCACAGTCTTCTTTGTTGCTTTTGCTCAATGAGTGCTGCTTGCTGTTGCGTCTGTTTGATTTTGTTTTTGTTTGTCACTCTCCTAATAACAAAAACTATTTGTTTTGCGCCTTATTTAGTTTTGCAACTACACACTTGCACCTGCTGCAATGATAATAGTAACAGCAACAACAACAACAACAACGCGACCACGAACAAATGTGGTCAGCGTGGGCAGGCAGAGGCTGGATGTTGCTTAACCCACCAGCAACATGTTGCCAGGGACTGTCGACTGTCGACTGACCTGAGGCACATCACAGCTCAGAGGCTTTAAAATATGTTTAATTGTCATTTAATTGAAGTTTTAACAAGCAGCCCTTTTGGCATACGTAATCACGAAGCACGTGCAGTTGTCGGCCGGGAATGACAATGACAGAGTCCGACCTCAACGTCTTCCACTCGCTCGGCACGTGCTTCAAGTTCTAATGCGACAGACAGCTTTGCGCTGCATCGCGATGTTGCATCCACGTTATGTAGAATGAATGTAGTATGAGTTGCAATCGCTAGAGATAAAGTCGTTTTAATTAGAATTATAAATATTTCAAAGGAAGTTGGCGCTTGTTTGTGAAATACATTAATATTTATGCTTAGGGTTTGCCGCCAACCAGACGACAAGATTTATCTGATTGACAGATAAATCGAATATTTTTTTTATTATGGATGTGAAAAAAATTGTATGAAAATTGTGTTTCATAAAAAGCTATCGCTGTCCTCACCAGGTGTCACAATTAAAGGCGTACTTCATATTATAAAACGAGTTCAGATTCAAGCAATTAATGGCATTACTGAAGTATTTAATATTTAATTTAATTTTGCTGCAGAATTCTATGATAAAACATGAAAAATGCCCTCAGCTATTGTTTTGGATTTACTTTGTTCAAGAACTACTTTCTACTTTAAATAATATTCTGCATTTATTGTAAAAGATCAGAAATAATTGATATTTAATCTAGTATTTAACTAGAATACTTATTTATTTTTTTATATCTTATTATTATTTATTTTATTCTCGACTAAAAAAAAGCGAGGAACATAACAGGTCAGTCCAGGCTCTTCTCTTCTACCACATTTTCTTCGCTTACCCTTAACTCATTTAACCAAAAAACGAATCAAAAAAAATATTCATTCACAAAATAAATATTTTATATTAAACGGAAGTTGAGTTTCTATAGCCCTCAGGTTTTGTACTTTATGGCATATGTCTCATAAATTCATTTGATGAGCCATTTAATGACGTTAGTCTAAACCTTTTCCGCATAAAAACACAACTTAGCTTCAGCTAACCTATAATTTATTTGCCTTAAATTCAATTTCATTCTAAAAAATTTGCACAATCGAACGCTGGTGGTCCTTTTATGAGGGAAGCCGTTGCTACCAAAACAAAAATAAATATTTTTTTTGGCAAGCGTACAGGGCGCCCAAATGTTGGTCGCTTTTTCGATGAGTTGCTTTTGTTCTGTTTTTCAGTTTAGAGATAGGTATTTGAAAACTTTGTTATGGAGCGTTGATAAAGGGATTTAAAAATATGCTCCATTCATTTCTTTTCAGCAAAATATTAGCAGATTATTTGCAAAAATCTTGAAATAGAAAAACTTGGACCTTAATTCAAAAGTATGTAGTTTTGATTTATGAGGAATGTTGATGAATTAATACAATCAAAGCAATATATAATTTAGTTTTCAAATAATTGTTTCTAATGAATACGATTAAGTTTTTAAAAAACGTGATATTTAATTTAGTTTGAAATAAAGTAAACAGCGTTCCAAATCATTCTTATTTATTCATGCATAGAAGTTGGAAAACGCTTAAATATGCTTGGATCCTTTAAAAAAATTACTTTTAAAGCTGAAATGTCGTATTTTTTTTGCAATTTATATTATTGCTTGTTATTTGAAATTTTAAAATATTTCATCTATTATTATTTTTTTTATAGTGTTGAGTAATTTTTTTTATGTAAGCTGATGGTATGTTTTAACGTTTCAAATACTCTTACATTCAAAAGAAATATAGTAAAATTTATAAAACTAATCAAAAATTTGTTGCGAAAACTAAACAAGCTAATAATTTGCATACAATTTTGTCATATGCTGCAAATAGTTAGTCAGTCTGGAAAGGAAGCCGAAAAGAAATTTGTTGCAGCAGACAATTTTATTTTATTACAGAGTTCTTGAAAACATCAGAGGTACTCATGACATGCTTTTAATATATTAATAATATAATAATATAATATAATACAAGTAGTTCAATTCAAATAAAAGTAATTTCAAATTTCAGTCAACTTTTTAAGACTCTTCACTGTAGTTTGTTGGGGGTTTCTTTTGCCAAATCGCTCCAAGCCAGCCACACACATAGCACTTACCCCAGCTGCTGTCTCAGCCTGATGCTCAGCAGTCAGTCGGTCTGTCAGTCTGTCAGTCCGACTCATAAATATCAGGGGCGCCATTTGCGCGCTTGTCTGTGCCCAACGATGGCTT